AATAATGAGAGCACCGATAATGGAGGTTCTACCGTACCTGAGAACAAGGTTTGCGCGTAATTTCTGGCTTGCAAAATTGAAATTCATGCCTGGCAGTGGCGCGACGCCTTTATGTTTTTGGAAACAATACCCGACGTTTATTTTCGCATTTGGAAAACCTGCGGACAAACCTCTCGAACAAACGCGGTGCTTGTTTACGGTCTTGTCACCGATAAATATCAGCAAACAATTGCGTAGTGCGCGGTGATTGCTCCGGCAGATTATTTATCTAAGCAGGCTTGGGAATACAAAGGGCATTCATCCCCTTTCCACCGAAATCCCATAGGGCGGATATTAATATGCTCTTGTGGATTTCAACGATTCGGCTGGTTTACCGATACGAAACCATCGCGTATTACGGATAAGAATTCATTCGCAGCGAGTAAGAGCATGAACTAGGGACGAGAAAATTAGTATCGAGTCCGTCGCGAGTATTACGTGAACATTTATTTACATTTCTTTCATACTCGTCGTTGCACGAAAGTATTATTCTCATTGAATGTTTGCAAAATTTTATCGAATTATTTTATCTATGGAAGCAGGTGTAGCAATTTCTCCCTAATTCGCGCTCGGATTGCGCACGAAAATGGACAATTTGAGAAGAGCAGATACGATTATTCGAGCCTTGCGGCTCATTTTTATCATTCTTGACAATCGGAAATTATAAAAATCAGTCCATTCTTTTTTTACAAGCTGAAGGGAAATTAGGGAGAATTTATCGTAATCAGACATGGAGGACAAACAAAAGAAAGGTTAAGTCAGAGTTATTAATTGTGCAGAGAAGCACATTTGAAAGCAGGTTCAAGTATTAGATTTTGTAAAATTGATAATACAGTAAATTCACCCTAATTTTTCTTTAGCTTTTAAACGAAAATGGACAATTTGGGAAACCTTGTAGCTTGTTTTTATAATTGTTCACAATCGGTAACTATGAAAATGAGCCGCGAGGCTTCTAATAATCGTATCTACTCTTCCCAAATTGTCAATTTTTATTTCCAAGCTGAGCGTCAATTAGGGAGAATTTATTGTACTCCGATTTTTAAGGTCGACTAATCGTATCTCATCTTCTCAAACTGTCCATTTTTGTGCGTCAATCTGAGCGCGAATTAGAGAGAAATTGCTGTACCTCGATTATTGCATATATATGCTTATATATATATATATTATTATAATGGTTAAATACGGTTCTCTTTTCTCATGATACTTGCGGATATATGCAATGCAAAATCATACACAGCAGAGACTCCTTTATCCGACAATTTATTTTTGCAATATTCCGGTATCCGCACGTTCTATTATCCAACCATTGTATTATTTAGACTAATTATTTAGATTAAGCATTATCTAGATTATATTATTATTATATTAATTGTAATTAATGATCGATTAATTTAGATTAATTATTTAGATTATTATATATTATATTATTATTATTATATTAATTGTAATTAATGATCGATTAATCTAGATTAATTATTTAGATTATTATATATTATATTATTATTATTATATTAATTGTAATTAATGATCGATTAATCTAGATTAATTATTTAGATTATTATATATTATATTATTATTATTATATTAATTGTAATTAATGATCGATTAATCTAGATTAATTATTTAAATTATTATATATTATATTATTATATTAGAACTCGAATGAAATGTTTAGACAATAGATAAGAGAGTATCTCTATTGTATATAAATAACATCGAACAGATCTGTTCGCAAAATTTTTATTCTGCTGCTTGTCGATATCCATTTTGCGACGGTCTACGGTTTTTTTATGAGTAGTCTTCGGCACATTTATACCGTTTTTCGAGAGACAGGAACTAATGCACACTATTGGCCATAATGGCTATTCGCCCTACTACAATCGCTCAAGACTGATGACATGTAAGTACACGGATTGGGATGGACAGCTTGTTCTATCTGTCGTGAAAAAGGGTGGCCGTAACGGCTGGATTTCTTTTATCGGGAAAGTACTTCGCAGAAAACGTATAACATTGTTGGAAGTACAAAGAAATCGTGTAAAGCGTAGATTAATTGTTAGACTGCGTCTCGTTCTGTAAATTCCTGTTTTTACACGTCATTTTACAAAAGTTAAAATTAGAGAAGATTTTCTTTCGGCAATTTGAAGATTTTCTCGTTGCAGGATGAAAATAAGGATAGCTTTAGACCCTGTTCATTTATACGTTTTCTTGAATTTTAAGAATCTGCACATGCTACAAATGCATAAAAATTCATAATCTAGTTATTATATTTATTGTAAGTCGACGATAGTGAAGAAGTTATGATGAGATTTAATTTTTGCGGGTGAATTCTACCTAATTGCAAATAGCTATAAAAACGGCTTTATATTATTATTATTACTTGTATTATTATTATATTACTATTATTATATTACTATTATTATACTATTATTATATTATTATTACATTATTATTATTAACGAGAATTATTATTATTCGAGCCTTGCGGTTCGTTTTTATAGTTACCGATTGCAAATAGCTATAAAAACGGCTTTACATTATTATTATATTACTATTATTATACTATTATTATATTATTATTACATTATTATTATTAACGAGAATTATTACTATTCGAGCCTTGCGACTCGTTTTTATAGTTACCGATTGAAAATAACTATAAAAACGGCTTTATATTATTATTACTACTTGTATTATTATTATATTATCATTATATTATTATTATTATTATTAACAGCAACTATATATAAAAGTGGCTTTATAAAAAACCCACAAGGCTTAAATAATCGTACCTTCCCTTTCCAAATTGTCCATTTTTGTTTCCAAACTGAGCGTCAATTCGGCTAAACTTTCATTTACGAAAAAATTAAGTTCACAATTTTATTTTTAGTTCTTCAATAATTACGCCAATATACAAATTGTTAAAACGTATTCGCTTATTAACCCTTTGCACTCGAGCGATGACTCCGAGGCACCACTACAATTGTTACATCACGTTCCAAGATAATTTTCACATTATCAAAGCTTAGATGTAAAAAATTGTTAAAAGTCTAACTTGTTGTACGAGTCACAAGATTCAATTTCATAAGCACGAAATGCACTTTGTCATATAAAGTATCGTGTATGCATACAATAAATCAGAAAAGTTAATTTAGATTTACAGTTAAAATTGCCTTGGAGCGCAAAGAGTTAATAAATATTAAATGTTTCATCAGTGTTTTTCTCATGTTGCCGATATATTATGTTCGAATTTCGTTAAAATGCGCGACAATAAAAAAAGAACTTCTCCGTTCGAAATATCATTAATTCAACCATCAACGTTGGAATCAATTAAATGCCAGAATTGTTATTTATTCCTCGACGCTACGTCGGCATTCGTACTAACAAGTTCAAGTAGGAGTTAGCCGAGTGCACCCGTACCGGACCAAATTTCGAACTGAATTTTCTGGAAAATAGAACTGCAACTGAAAATTATTAATTAATTGGTTCGCCTATTTTTCCATGCAGAACCACGCCTTGCAGAACCGCCCCTCTTAAGCCGTTCTGTGTTATTTAATTTAACAAACATAACCACAATCTTAATTCCAACCACCCCTCCGAAACCATTCTGTGTTATTCAATTTAGCAAACATATAACCACAAATTTAGTTTTACGTTTAGTAATTTTTAATTTTACGAATGTTAAGCAGCCTCTGGCTCGTTTTGTCAAGGCGAAATTTTATTTTTCCACTGTGCTCAATTTATAATGCTCGATGGAAAGTAAAAACTTTGTTTATAGCTTTCTCCATTGAGAAAGCAGTTAAGTATACGTCGCGTTTATGTTTACGGCGCACATCCCCGCTCGTTTTTCGATCGTCTGAAACGTTTACGTGTTTTATCAAATATCGGATAAAATTGATTTCTCTAATATAAGGCTGAAGGAAAGTCTCTCCGTTCTTTTTTTTTCTTCTTTTTTTTGTGCCATGTTTCTGGTCGTAAATACTTACGGTTGTGTTCGGTTTAGTTTACACGTCGACCAGCGTATTATGTTGTGTGCAGCTAACGCTGCATCGTGCGTGGTAAAAAGAAACCTTCGGAAGATTATTCCATCGTCGTTTTTAACTTTATAGCTTGATAACTTCACGTTCGAGCCGGATACAATTAAAAAATATCTCATTCGTATATTTAATTGTAAATATACAAGAGCATTTTTATGCACAGAATTCGCAGTTAATACAAAAGCTCGTAACGTTGTCAAGAAACAGATTTTCCGAAGCTTATCGCGCTTTTAAATTAATACAGCATAAACGAATTCAATATTGTTTTCATTGCGCGCGATCACCGTGTATACGCGTGCGAAAATAAATTTATCCCTCAGAATAAATTATACCTAGTACACGTTTGCCTTCATAATTGACGTTAATTATACTACAATATTTGCCAATATTATACTACAATATTTGCCATTCTTCAGCGATAAAACTATACAAAAACTATAATACAACAATACAACGATACAGCTACATTTTCAACTTTTATCAGCATCCAGTAGTAACAATACCAAAACTTCACGTTAATATTTCATTCGAACGTTTTCATCGATTTTTCATTTTTCCATTTTCTCACGCAATTCCGAAATTAATATTTTCACATTGTTTTAAACTAATTCGATTTCGACTATATAACTATTCCGAATATTGAAAACGCTGCTAAACAACGCGCGAATTACAGTGAACGTTCGTACAACAATTAACTTACTATTCAATCATGTATTCACCTGTGATTTCTTGTTATTAACAAAACCAGCGCGTTAACAGTTCATCGAGTGTTCGTCGTTTCACAAACTAACCTCGTCAACGAATTATTGTGATCCGCGAATGCATCGTTATTATGCAACAGAGATCGTTAAGGATCGAGGCACGTCGAATCCGTCGAGCACGAAAACATAAATTACGTATTATCAGCCGGAAAAACCGAGTACATACCTCTGTATCTACAGAACGGGGTTCTCGTGCACCGCCAGTAAAATCAGCAGCTCCGCACGAAGAAACTCATCGTCACTGACTCATAACCAACTGGCCCTCCGACGATACGAAAAAAAAGGAAAAGAAAAGAAAAAAGAAAGTAACGCTAAAAACGGCGCGTCGCGCGATATTAATTCGGCATTGATTCAATATGAATCAACGGGCGCGCACAAACACCCTCCTTTCGCGGTAGCTAATCAGTCCTTGTCCTTTCCCTCTGAAAGAATTGGTTAACTGTCACTGGCCGCGGCGGTGTACGCCGTGGAATTAACGAACGGAGCGAATCGTTAATCGAATGCCGCGGTAGAAACGACTCGTTTTCACTTGGCGAGAGGTTCGACCGACTCGGACGCAACATCCGTGCGCTCCGGAAATCCCCCAAATGAATTGGCAAGGCTAGGAAACAAGAAGAAGACTAGAGAGAGAGTGGAGAGGGGTGAAAATCGGACGCGACAACGCGGAGGCTGACGACGCACTGACTAGCTGCTCCCGACAGTCGAACACTCGAGAGAGAGAGCATTCCCCCACTGCACTGACACGTCCCGTTGTGCCAAAACCCACCCTCCCGCGCAATCCTCCTCGATTACACTCTATACCCCTCGTCCTCGGCCTTTGCCGATCGGAACCGAGTGATCTACTTCACCCAGCGTCGAAAATCGCACAATGACATACATACGTACACCGCGTTTGTGCACATTAAATCGCGACTACCACTTGGCAACTTAACGCTCTATCCAACAGCGGTTCTGCGATAGTTCTTTCCGAATCTGTTCGTACACGGGCAACTTCGCGTTAGGCAGCGGCGAAAGTTCCTGCGCGGAATTCCAGCGTAAGAGCATTCTAGGGTAAGCGTGGGTATTACTGCGGACGCCCCAAATACTACGGTATTTTGTAGAGGTAATAAAATCTAACATTTCTTTTTATTGTAGAATCTTCTAAAAATAAATCTCGTAGTTTTTCGTGTGTTCAAGCGTGGGTATTACTGCGGACGCCCCAAATACTACGGTATTTTGTAGAGGTAATAAAATCTAACATTTCTTTTTATTGTAGAATCTTCTAAAAATAAATCTCGTAGTTTTTCGTGTGTTCAAGCGTGGGTATTACTGCGGACGCCCCAAATACTACGGTATTTTGTAGAGGTAATAATATCTGACATTTTTTACTGTGGAATCTTTTAAAAATATATCTCGTAATTTTGTATGTGTTTAATATCGATACTAGGGTAACAACAATCGCGGTTTTAAGTCATTTATTGACTTTTCACACTCGGAAGCTTATGAAAACGTCGAGTCTTATAAAATATACGCAATGGCAGCCGTGAAAGACATTTATATTTTATAAAGTAAGTAATCGTTGCTTTGATAAAAAAATTGGCATACACTATTGCTATCGTCTATCTTCAAAGATTATTTGCTAACACAGTATTTGGCGCATAATTAAAAAATTATGCATAGTAAAATTGCGCATAGTAAAAACTACGCGTGTACATTACCGCGGTGCTTTACCGAACCGCGTACCTTAACCTATACAGTGCAGTTCTCGATGAGCCGGTGCGACCACGTTTGATCGCAGAGTACCTAATTTATAAAGTGCTACAGTGAGAATATCTTGATCCCAGGAATTATAGCTGTACGTGTACATTTAAAGAGAATAGGTTGTGTCAACCTTGACGCGCAATAATCGCCCTTTACGTTACGCTAATGAAATTTATGCTTTCGGAGATCCAATATTCTGAGAAAAGAAAATATTCAAGTTAAAGAATAATAGGTATAGCCTAAGTTGTCAACCGCAATAATACTTACACTTACCATATTTAGCGAAGGAATCAGCGTCAGATGCCAGCCAAGCTAACCTCTCTGCGCGTATAGCAACTAATAACCTTTTCGCCACGATTTTCAGCACACCCTGTATGTACCAATTGGGAAATATTCAAGAGGATTGTGTATTCTGAATTCATTCTTTCGCGAGCACGTTCTGTTCCTTCCCTTCGCGATTATGCTCCCTCTACCTGCAAACATTCGTCTTAAATAAATCTCTTCGGTCGACTTCAGAACGTGTTGCAGTGATTCCTTCATTTCGCGATCTAACGCTAGCACTTGTTTCAATAAATTTTTTGCGATTGAATATAAGTTCCATGGATTAGGTTATGTAGTACCGAAATCTTCGATTTTATCGATTTACAGAAAATAAATCGCCCGCTGCTCTTAGCACGGCGCCGCTTTCGATGCGTCTCTCTCTCTCTCCCTCTCCCTCTCGCTCTCTCTTTCTCTCTCTCTCGTTCTCTCTTACTCTCTCTCTCTCTCTCTCTCTCTCTTTCTTTCTTTCTCTCTCTCCCTGCAAGAAAGCGTGACACAGAAAATGTAAGTGATAGACGCGGGGAAGACAGATCTGGAATCTAAGGAGTGCGCACGGTAGAACTTCCAATCGGGCATCCTTTATTTCTCGTACACGGGTAGAAGAAGCGGTACAAGGTCTTGTTTTGTCATGCAAAAACGGTACAAGCGCGGCAACACACATTTTATGAGATGTCTCCTCGAACGAAGTCACTTCCTTGCCGTAAATGCATTAGATTGGAATACTTCAACGACGACATCTGAACATTTTCGTCGTAAATTTTAGCGCATGCATTCGCACCGTTTCGAATTTATGAATACAGATGGACAGTTTGAACGGTCTTTTTTCAGCTGTTCTCCCACCGATGGAAGCTCTCGATTATGGAAACGAATGAATGGACATGGAAAATGTGTATACCAGTGGAGGTAAATGAAACTTTCTATTAGTATTACTTTCATAATTATTATATAATATAATTATACAATATGTATAATTATGTAATGTATAATTATGTAATGTATAATATAGTTAAAATATTTTTATTTGTGAATAAAAGTGCAGAATTCGGTTCTAGATTAGCGTTAACAGAAAAATCGAACAACTGGTGCTTGCATACTTTTCGCTCATTTTCGTTGCACACTTGAATTCGACCGAATGCCTTCTATACATAACCTCATATTACTTATTAATAATCAAACTGTAACACAATCGCAGAGACATAGAATAATTAACACAATGTGTAAAACAAAAAATGAATGAATCATCAGCTCGAGTCACGGTTTTTCTAGGATTAACTTAGAAAATTATTAAGACCCTTTTTAATACGGTTGTTAAACGATCTATACACACGATTGATAGTCGATCTTTCAGTTTTTTAATTAAGCATTAATGACAACAACAATTTCCATCATTAGCCGAGAAATTATTACGATCAACAAAAATGTACATACAAAAGTAAGTAACAAATAACCGATAACATTTCTCGATTGAGAAATCGAGTCAACACACGTACGAATGAAATTGTCAAATAACAATTTTCGAGTACATTAAATTTCGATATTACTGGCTGAATCAGTGATTGTATCTACGAAGAAGTTTGATCTACCGTTATGTATTTTTACGCAGCAAAATCAATTAAATGCCAAAATTGTTATTACCTCTCAAAACTCGCCAATGCAATCTAGATATTCGCGAATAAAAAATAAAGAGCCATCGGCAATCCGTCGATATCCATATTGAATGCATTTGGACGGTAGTGCGATTGCACGCGCACGAGATCAAATTGCAAACGCGATTTTCTCGAAAAGCGAAGCATCCATCGAAAAAAAGATACTCATTCGCTTGTATCACCCATTCTAACAAAACACGTCCTGCGTTTTTTTTCATTCGGCGTCGTTACGTGAAGGTGAATTAATACAAACCATTCTAAGTCGTTGGGAAGCATATTCACTCCGCTAACAATGAACTTAACCGTGGCAGACTCAGCCGTTGTACTTAAATAAAACTTATGAAAATCGTTGAGGTTTCGTTAACATTACTGTAAATATCTATTCGCGATTATATAGTGTATATTTTTTTGGGAAACGATGATTGTAATTCAAATATCATTTTTAATAAAACAGAAATATTTAGTAAAACAGAAATTATAAAAATAAATAACATTGGACGGTTGCGTTGGTTTTTTGTTTTGTAAACTGTTCAATTCTTTTGTAAACTTTTGTAGTTCGATTTCGTTTCAAAAATATTCGCATAGAAAGAGAATTAGGTGTTTTATTGAGTATTATTATTATTTGGATATTATTATAATTATATTATAATATTATATAATATTGTATTATATATATTATATTAAGTATTATTATATATTAGGTTATATTANAATTAATACAAACCATTCTAAGTCGTTGGGAAGCATATTCACTCCGCTAACAATGAACTTAACCGTGGCAGACTCAGCCGTTGTACTTAAATAAAACTTATGAAAATCGTTGAGGTTTCGTTAACATTACTGTAAATATCTATTCGCGATTATATAGTGTATATTTTTTTGGGAAACGATGATTGTAATTCAAATATCATTTTTAATAAAACAGAAATATTTAGTAAAACAGAAATTATAAAAATAAATAACATTGGACGGTTGCGTTGGTTTTTTGTTTTGTAAACTGTTCAATTCTTTTGTAAACTTTTGTAGTTCGATTTCGTTTCAAAAATATTCGCATAGAAAGAGAATTAGGTGTTTTATTGAGTATTATTATTATTTGGATATTATTATAATTATATTATAATATTATATAATATTGTATTATATATATTATATTAAGTATTATTATATATTAGGTTATATTATATAATTATTGAAAGTTCTGTTCACATGTGATTGACAGTTAATTTTGTTAGCTCCTTAATCAATCCTTTAATGGATCTTAGTTATATTGTTGTTAAATTATAACAGTGTATAATTTTAAATTAAGTTAATTAAACAGTGTATCATTTTCTTTCGTGTATAGTTTTCATTGTTAACAAATGGATGAGCAAATCTGAGCAAATTTAATTTTACATTTAGGCATTACGTTTCTTGTTCGTAAATTTTGTTCTAAAGATGACAATTAAATAAATAATTCTTGATTACGTTCAAGACAATTTTTGTACGTCGTTCTCTTGCGGTCTACGTTTAGAAGTACATGTGTGTTTGCTTCAGCAGGAAACTCTTTCTTGTGTATACAATGGTATGTTAGGGATGATATTATCGCCTTTTATTTATAGTTCACGGATACAGATTTATAAAACAGTAAGAACTAAAGGACGCGTATTTTTCTATAGTAATGAAAGCTCGAGTTTAAGGGATGAAAATACTCGCTGAAAATTGCCATCTTCGAGGCTATCTTGGAAATTATAGAGCTAAAGATATATGTATTAAATCCGAACTAGAATTTGAAAAACGTCGTCAATTATTTAATATTTTAATAAAACGTTGCTGCTATATAGAAATATTATCCCAATAAAACTAATTAGATACAGGATAATACATAATTAACGAAGACGTTTAAATAAAACATTTCACATTATACAACAATTAATCGAATAATGCAAATATATAATATTTAATCCTCATATACTCCTCATTTGAAAATTCGCTCATCTTTTATTTACGATACCGTAACATTATTTATTT